AACAAAATCCACGAAATTAAACAATCAACGAAATTATACAATCAACGAAATTATAGGCTCCACGAAATTATACAATCAACGAAATTGTACGCACGACTCAACACCTTGCCTACGTACGCTTCTGAACGCCAAAGCCGTCTTTTCCCTTCGAAGGCGGAGCTTAAGCGATGCGCGACGAAATCGACGCAAACCGTTGCCGCCAAGAGAGTGTTTTAGCTGTATTGTATAAGCTGTGGTCACAGTTCTAATATTAAATAAAATATTGCAATATAATACCTTCCTTTTTTTTTAATATTTTTATCGTCCTAGCTTTGAGCTGATATTGCTTTTTACAGAAATAGCGAAACTGTCACAACCGTGACCAAGGCAGAAAATTCAAATATATAAAAATCCTGAGCGGAATTTTAGATTTAATACGACCACGTAACATTTAATGAAAATAGTTGTAAACGAAGCTATAAAAAATACCTAAAGCGCCGTTATCATTTCCATCACTTTCGAATTCTCGTATTTTTCGTCGAAATTTTTCACGTTGCGCTGATTGCCATTTCGAATTCAATTGTTTAAATGAAAAACTTCCCGTTGAGCTCATAGCAGTTTGGTACATTTGAACTTTTTTCGCTGTGAAAATTGACGATTGGTCCGTTAAAATCGAGATGCTGTCTAGCTGAAAAAGCCTTAAAATAGACACTGAACGCAACAATAAAAATGTAGTTAATTTTTAGTAGTAGTTATGTAGGAAATTCACTGGTGTGGCTTGATAAAAAGTCTAAAAGTCGTTAATAATAATTTTTATTATGAAATTGCAAATAAAAAAACAATGTCTTAATTACATTCAAGAATAATCATATATGATACTTTTCATTAACTTGAATAACCAGAAGTGTAGCTGGCCAACCTTTCATATACTCAGCACAAGTAGTTGTATTAACAAGACCTTCGTGAATTCCAACTTAAACTACGTCATAAGTATCATTACCTACTAGGTCTAAAATTCCACCAAAACTTCCAACTGATATAGTTGAATTTCATAGTTTATTAAATTCTGTTACATTAAAAACTAATAGGGACGAATATTTGCTTCTTAAAAATGATGAAATAAATAATATAGTCATGTTTTCATGTAAAACTAATCTTTACGCTCTAGAACAGTGGTCGCGAGCTACCGGTAGCTCGCGGAGGCAATTCTGGTAGCTCTTACAACGATTTTAATTTAAAAAATACAAACTGCAAAAATAAGAGAAGCTTCCGAAAATTTCACAAAAAAATCTGTCATAATATTAAACATAAACAGCGGCAACGTTGCGGTGAGCGATCTGCCGCTGACGCCATCAAGCTAGAATCGGCTAGAACCGACCAGCCGGACCAGCGCGTTAGTGTTCGAGAACGATCAGGATTGCTTTGAACGGGATAAATACGCACGGCGCGGCGACATTGCGCTTAGTTTAAAACTGAACGGGTAACCAACGTCCAACGGTTGGGTTAGTAGAGAACAACAAAAAATAATAGTATGGCAAGCAGTTGTAAGAAGGTAAAGACATACCACTTTCATTCGAAATGGGAAGAACAATACTTTTTTACAGAAGTTAAAGATAAAAATGTGTGTTTGTTATGTTATACTTCGGTCTCCGTTGCTAAAAAAGGAAATATTGAAAGACATTATAAAACTGTACATTCTAATTTTGAAAAATAATTCTCACTACATTCTGCCGCCAGAAAGGAGAAACTGAAACAGTTAAAAAAGAAGTTAATTGGACAACAATCAATATTTTTAAGAAGTCGACAAAAATAAGGCTGCAACTGAAGCATCGTACCGTGTGTCCCAGATAATTGCACAAAAAAAAGAAATATTATGAAGACGGAAAAATGATAAAAACAGGCGTTTTTAGAAGCTGCTGATTCGTTATTTGCCAACTTTAGAAATAAAGACGAGATAGTTTCAGCTATAAAATCTATGCAACTTTCTGCTAATACAGTGATGAGACGTGTAGAAGTAATGAGCAATGATATTTTTTTACAGTTAAGAACTGACTTAGATAACTGTGTTTATTTTTCACTTCAACAGGATGAATCAACAGACGTCGTTGACAATGCCCAGATGGCCGTGTCCGTCAGGATGGTTTTTAGTGATTTTACGATTAAAGAAGATCTTTTGAAGTTTATTCCATTGAAAGGACACACTTCTGGACAAGAGTTGTTTTCTCATTTAAAAAATATTATTTCTTGCGAGAAAATTCCAATATCGAAAATGGTAGGCTTGACAACCGATGGCGTTCCAGCTATGGTGGGTTGTGATAAGGGTCTGGTGGCGTTATGTCGTAAAGATGAAACTTTTCCGCAAATTCTCTGTTACCACTGCATTATCCATCAGCAAGCATTATGTGGAAATTTCCTCAAACTAAACAACGTTATGAAGCTGGTGGTAAAAATTGTGCACAAGATTAGAGCTCAAGCGTTACAAAGAAGATTATTCAAAACCTTGGCCGATGAAGTTGACTGTCAATACGGGAACCTACTCCTTCACTCTGAAGTCCGATGGTTAAGTAGAGGACAGGTGCTGAAACGTTTTAATGATGTCCTATCTGGCATAGTTCAATTTTTCAAACAACGCGATGAACCGACTCCGGAACTAGAAAATTCAATCTGGCTTAGAGATTTTGGTTTTCTCGTGGACATTACAGAGAAATTAAACGAACTTAATTTGCAGCTTCAGGGGAGAGACAAAGAACTAGCGGAAATGATTTCTGATATAAAAGCATTTATCAAAAAGCTGGAGTTTTTGGAAGAAAACCTAATTAACAGCGATGCCAAGCATTTTCCTATTCTTTCAGAAAAAATATCTCAAAATCCATTAGAACCCTATGACAGCAAATATCATGTAAAAATAGTTTCTATCCTGAAGAATAACTTCAAAAATCGTTTTAAGGATTTCAACGAAATGGCTTTAGTAGCGCAGTTTGTTGTTTCACCCTTTACGGAAATTGATATCCAACAGTTTGCAACTTATGTTATGCAGAACTTTGGCGAAGACATCGCTGCAACAGAAATTGAAGTAATTGAGTTTCAAAATGATTTAGCCTTAAAATCGTTAGTCTCAAGTACCAAATGTATCTGGCCTATTGTAAGTAAAGACAAATATTCAGTTCTATGCCGTGTTGCCTTGAAAGTGAAGGTATTATTCAGTTCAACCTATTTGTGTGAATCTTCTTTTTCCAATATGAAGTTTATTAAGAACAAATATCGCAATCGACTTACAGATGAATATTTGGATAATTGTATTCGAATCGCTGTATCAAATTATACTGCAAACATTAAAAAAATTATCGATGAGTCTGAGTGTCAGCCTTCTCATTGAACGTGCTTTTTTGTTTTTCATTGTTTATGTTCATGATAGTGCGTTACTTTTTTTTGTTGTTATTATTAACTATTTTTAAATCTTACGTGACATGCCGTTGTGGCTGGATAAAAGTTTGTGTTTATTTTTCAAACACCTTCGTTTGGTAGGTAGGAATGTAGCTATGAACAAGTACGTACTAGTAATATTAGTTATTTTGTTATTAGTTTATTATTAGTACCTATGTATTATGTATTACCAGTTAAATATTAAAATAAATACATATAATGATAAATTAACTGTGGATTGTTTCATTTACGTTGCGTTACGTGGCTTCCGTGTGGGTAGCTCACTGTTTATTCCAAAATTAACAAAATAGCTCAACACATTGAGAGGTTGGCGACCACTGCTCTAGAAGAAATAAGTGAATTATATGTTGACGACACTTTCGATTATTGCCCTAATTTTTTTTACAATTGTTTACCATTCATGGTTTTAAAAATAATCATTATATTCCTCTCGTTTTCTTTCTTTTGAACACTAAAACTACAGTGTCATATAAATTAGCTTTACAATATTTAAAAGAAATAAACCTATCTATAACAGGTCACGACTTTTTTCCAAAAATTATAACTTCAGATTTTGAATTAGCAATAAACAAAGCAATTCGCGAAATTTTTCCAAAAACAGAAATTGAGGAATGTTTATTTCACCTAAATCAATGTTGGTATAGAAAAATTCAAACTTGAGGACTTTCCACCGAAAAGATAATTTAGAAACATATATAACTAAATACCTTACTTATATTTTTGGTAATATTTTTATTTTGGGAGACAATTTAACTCCGCCGACTAATTTATACAAAGAAAACGTTTGAAACCTTGAATGATAAACTCAATTTTCCAATATAATATATTTAAACGAACCCTAGGAATATTCTAAAACCTGCTCGTTACCATTTTATCTTTTAATCCTGCAATTTTATACAGTTCAAAAACGATCCGTGTGGCTATTAAGCAGACAATAACGAGCAAAATGCGGGTTTAAACGCTGTAGTTTCGTGTCGATTTTCGATTTTATGTAATAAAGAGAGTAGTTGCACTTTTTCGAACGGAGTAAGTCGGCGTTTTTCCAGTAATGTTACCGTAGATTGTCTCTACTTTGAGTCGTAAGTGCTATAATCGCGCTGAAGCTTTGAAAACTAGAAAGTGGAATGGTTGGTTTTAGCCTTACGCTTTGCTACTGATAGAAAAAGAAGAAGTCGTCTTTACAGAAAGCTGGTGTGTTGTCTTTATAGATTCTTGAATAATTTCATTAATGCATTACAGGGTTCAAGTATGTATAAAAAAAAAGATTTTTAAGAATTCAAAAATTGAACAATATACAGGATGTTGCATTTAAAATAAGAAAGTAGGTATTAGTATAAACATTTAAAAATAAATAAGCAACTAAAAATACCAATCGACACGTGTCCGAGCGTATTTCCGAACATGCCCCATTTATTTATTACTAAATTATTCCATTTGGCTATTCCACACTGTATGTAATCTGTCAAAGGTCTTTGAAAAGAGAATATAAACAAATACATCGTCAAAAACATCGACAGAATCAATTTTATTGAAACTTTGAAATTGCTTATAGCTATAATTAAAATATAAGCACTTACCCCTCTATAAGATGGCGCCACAATCAAATATGTATCTATATTGTTATCCTTTAGATATGAATTCCTTTCACCGCCATTTCCCGGTTCTACAACGTAGTCACTACCGAGACATTTCAAAGTTTCTTGTGTGATGTGTACTCTCCTGGAAAAAACAAATCTCATTAAGATATTTTTCTGCACAACAAAGAAACGATATTCAAATTTTTTTTGACGACAAATGTATGTTGTAAGGGGTTTTCTCGCCACAGAGAAAACGGTTCCTTACGAATAGCGCTGGTTACGGGCTGTTCTCGAGCGCCAGATTTTTGGTTATGGTTTACTCCACAAACTCTCGAAACGGTGTCGAAAGTACTCGGGTAGCTACATATGGAGATGAAAAATTCCAGGGATCAAAGGTCACTTAGACACAGGTAATAGTAGGCCACAAGTAACGGGCTTTAATCGTTGCTTGGGCTGGTACAGAATTTATCACTAGCTGAAAAATAAGGGGGAAAAAAGTAAGGAATTAATAACCAGTAATACGGCAAGTTAACATTGACACATATATTGTTTTAAACTATATACAACAATAAAAAAAAAGAAATAAATGAATGTATTTCAACGCCCATCCTCACGGTAATATGTACAAACCCTGAATAAAAATAAACAAACAAAACGGCCGGAAATGACTTCCGAATAGCCTCAATCAGACGTAAAGAAAAAAATGAAATCAATACTTGCATTAATCACGGTCGCAGCAATTGTTTATTATTGAACTGTCTATTCAGTTGTTGAGCTAAAAATTTCCTTCGGAAGTATTAATTCGGTCGTAGCAAAAATTAACTGTTAAATTGTCTAATCGGTATTTACAATCAAATGTAATTAAATGCTTTAGCAAAGCAAAATATCATATGCGGTTGCAGAGAATGCGAGGAGACAGGTTCGGGACAATACTAATTCCAGGGCTGAAACCGGGACTCTATAAGAGGTTTACTCACAAGTGGTTGGAAAGTAAAACCAACTAACAACCGGGATAGTACATTATCTCTGAATGAAGCGATCGTAATCACGAGCTGCTTCAGACAGGGGACTGATACTATTTGAGTTCACTTACAATAACGGAGACTAACGCAAATGAGGGTTTCAGACGTAAAATAAATTAATAACCGGGATAGCACATTATCTCTGAATGAAGTGACCAATTATTTATTGGATAAAGTTTTTAATAAACTAAAATGAAATTTACGATCGAATGAAAAATAAATTATTTAACGGTTAAAACTTTAAATAAACTAAAATGAAATTTATTATTTGTTTATGGAAATTTCCAGTAGTAGGAAAAATTAACTATACGACTATATTTACGATCGAATGAAAAATTAATTATTTAAGAGTTAAAACGTTAAATCAACTAAAATGAAATTTATTAAGAACGGTGTATTCTAACAAAAATAAATTAAAGTATTTCTTAATCAAAACAAATTTCAATTCTTAACTCAACACGGTATATTGTTAATTAAAAATAAATAAAATTAAATCTGTTTCAAATAGCACGGCTTAAAGTCTCGGGCGAGAAAAAAAATCATAAAAACAATGACAACAATTTACCTATCGTCAAGATCGCGGCTAGAAATGAATTTCGGTTTTGATTGTATCGGAATCGTATCGTATCTAATTATTCGCCTATTCAATTTCAAGGTGTAAAAGCAAGTCTACTGTTCGATAAATCGGTGTATTAGGAACTAAAAATTTTAATTCAATCTCGGAACTCGTTCAGTCGTCGAGAACCCTTCCACTACCAGAGACTCCCACCATTACAACGCGCGCACGTAGAGAATCTCTACGATGATTTGAACAGCGACAAAACTGATGATATACAGGCAGAGATGTGAACTGGTAAATTACCGATAAAGTACCGTGGTAATTTACCGTAATTAACCAAAAATAAATTACAGTAATTTACTCGTAATTTACTCGTAATTTACTCGTAATTTACTCGTAATTTACTCGTAATTTACATAATAAATTACCGATTTTTGTGCTAAAAAAATGTACATTATTTACCGTTATTTACCATTATATACAGCATTTTCTTGTAATTTATCAAATTTCGCAAAAGGAACTGTTTGTTCTTAGTTTTTGATGGTATGTAGGTACTTTTTTAAATAAAACATATAGTAATTATTTCAAGTTGAAGTTTTATTCTTTTAAAATAACCAAAAAAGGTTGACAGCTGTGTGCACGTAGTTTAGATTCAAAAGGAAAAACTTCGTATTTCGTGCAAAACTTTTTTATTAATCAATGCAAAGCGCTTTCGGCTTATTTGCCATCATCAGTGCTCATCTACAAAAATTGTGGATGTAAACTTACAATTTAAAAAGATTTTAAAAAATATATTATAAAATCTGAATTAGACTTTTAAGTCAAAAGTTAAAATAGTATATATACAATTGTTTGAACAAATTAAAAATTACAAGAAACAAACAAAGTGACAAAAAACTGGTATTGGGAATAGTGAGTGTGGGATAAGCCCTTACAAATCAAATCTGATCTCCAGAAGCAAGTTAGCTTGTGTGGAATTAAGGAATCATGCCACCCTCACTATTCACAAAATTGAAAAAAGGTTAACAAATTAGTTAAAATTTAAAGAAATTTAAATTAGAGGGTGACTGTGGAAGATATATTGAAATTTGAATCTAGAATACAATATTTGATATGAAGAAAGTAAAACGCAGAAGGCCAAAGTAAAAAAACTGAAGGTTTTTTTTTTATATATTTTATATACATTATAATTATGAAAAAGTCTACCTACTGTCCACAACGTATCCAACAAGTTCCTGGTCATCCTCACTCCCAAAATTATATATTTCGGGATATTTACAACTTGCTAAATCATAATTTTATCAATATTAATATTTTCAAATTTAAATTTCTCTCTTCATTTTGGTTCAAGTTGTTTAACCGTTTCCACATGACAGTGGTGACAAGCGACACTTGAAGACTTTGACTTGTCAAATGTCAACAGAAGGAGGTGCGTTCACCTCAGTGTGGAACATATTTCTCCGAGTGTGATTCGAGTGATTGGAGGTTAACGGAGATCAAAAATTTGTTATTGAATTTAAAGATTTAATTTATTGTTAGTTAAATTTAAATAAATGTTTAATATAAATGATATTATTATTTTGATGTCAAGACAAAACAAAAATGTCACTCGCGTGATTCTGATGTGCCAGCCCGGGCTCTGCAGAACATTCTTTCAGAGAACCCAAGATGGCACAACTGAACCCGCGGTCCCTAAAGGTGAATCTAATGTTTAGTCCTAAATTGTAAATTTCTTTAAATTTTAACTAATTTGTTAACCTTTTTTCAATTTTGTGAATAGTGAGGGTGGCATGATTCCTTAATCCCACACAAGCTAACTTGCTTCTGGAGATCAGATTTGATTTGTAAGGGCTTATCCCACACTCACTATTTCCAATACCAGTTTTTTGTCACTTTGTTTGTTTCTTGTAATTTTTAATTTGTTCAAACAATTGTATATATACTATTTTATCGCCTCGACTCGCGCGCGCTACGCTTAGAATCGACAAAATTGCAAATCGCATCTGTTTTTGAGGACTATTGCGCCACGCGCTCAAGGTAGGACCTGCTCTTTGATTTTTTTTATAATGTCTCTATTTTGTTTATTATAATTTTTTTAGAAAAATGAAATCTGCCAATCGCTCTCAAATTATTCCAACTGCCACCCCTACAAATTTGGACGCCAACTTCGGAAACACCCTGTATAGCGGCATGTTCATACGGTTCATTACAATCCTCTTTGGAGTCTGAATCTGAATATGAATCCGACTGGTCTGAAGTAGATAGCGAAACTAAACTAGATAAAATAGTTGATTTAGAGATCTCGTTTAGTCCAGCTCATTGTAAAATGCCAACGTAACATATGAATAATATAATTAATAAAACATAATCTTGTATAATTCTTATAAAATTAAAATACATTTTTCTTATACAAAGTACGAGGAACTTAAGTTTTTTTTAGATTAAGCACCTGCACAAACAATAAAATTTCATTTGATGTTTTGGTTTGTTTATTTTCGCGTTTTGTATTATTTAAAACTAAATTTAAATTATATTTAGTAATAAATAATTAGTTTTATTCACAAACAAATGAAACATTTCAATGTTCGACACAGATACTTACACACCTTAATTTCATTTCGAAGTCATATATGTGCATAAAATATATTACGGAAAATTACCACGTAATTTACGACACAAATTTATTACCAGGGTAATTAATTTTGGTAATTAAAACCCGTAATTTACCACCGTAAATTACCAAAAATATAAATTACGGTAATTTTACATCATTGTAAATACAGGGCTTATCCACGAAGTTAAAATTAAGTAAAAATCGAAATTAATACCCGGAATTAGTTAAAAAAATAATAATGAAAATTGACTTCATTACAATGTTCGTGATAACTACGCACGACACCGAATTAAATTCAGATCTACTTAAGAAGTTTGAAAACATATTTTTGTTGATTCCATAGTTTATTATTAGTACAAAAACCTTTCATATCTCATTTACTCACCCTGGAATGCCCCCACTTTCCATATAATTTGCTAACGTCACGTCATTGGACCAAACATCAAACTGCCATTTTCGAAGACCCAAGACACCACAGTGAACTCGTCCTGTGTGTATCCCCACTCTCATGTTGACGTTTACATTCATTACGCCTCTAACCAAACTGTAACAAAAAAACAGTTAAAATAAATAACAATATGTTACAAACGAAAAAAAAAAAACCAGTAAGTGATATTTTTATTTCATTGGAACTAATTTTTTTTCCATAGTGAGCAAAAGTGAAAAGAAATTTCGGTTATAATACTCGTTTTGCCTATTGTAAACAGTTGTTATAACAGTTCTTGTAACAGTTTTTGTAGCATCCTATAATTTTTATTTTATAGGTATTTATTTAAATCGTATTTCTATGTTTAAGTACTAGTTTTTAAAGTATTACGTTTGGAAAAAATAGTATTTTCGTTTTTCAAAAAGGTAATAAGTTGTATTTTCAACTTTGAGCCTCGTTTCTTTAAATCTAAGAGGTTGGAGATTGGTTTTACCTCTAAGGTACAGATATAGATCTTTTTCCTTCTCTTGCTCAGATCAAAATAGATTAATGTGAACCGTGCACGTATCTTTACTTTCCCTGGGTCCCATTTTAAAATTGAATAGTTTGTCATTTCTTTTTCCGTTCTTCATAAATTGATTTTTTTTTGTTTTATTTTTGTTATCAATTAAACTCGCTGTTTTCAAAAAATAAAATCGTCACAACTCAAATTTTTTCAGTTCTTCGATTTTTGTACCGCATTTTACCCTTAAATATCACGCAGGGTCCGGTAATGTTTCTATAATTATTTATTATTAGCTCAAATGTATCCATGGAAAATTCTATTTACTGACATTATATTTTTCTTCTTTAAATATAAATTTGTCAATTATTCAAATGAGTATTTATCTATTGAACTGTCAATCGCTGTTAGGAGATAACCATGGGCGAAGTTAGCCAAATTAGCCCCCCCCAAAAATAATTCGAACATTTATCGCACATCTATCCACACATTTCAGAACAGAAATTAATAAATAAAGAAAAATCGTGCCATTTGATTGATTCTGAAATTTTACATTTAGTTCAGGAGGCAGTGAATTTTACTCGTACTCATTTTTCCAATCGGTGTATATGAAAATAAACTGTTCTCTTAGTGACAAAAAACAAACATTTTGAGTCTGACACTTATTTTCCCAGTCATAAATATTTTACATTTACTAAACTAGAACATAAAGCTTATAAAAATAACAGTTTGGAATATCTCAGATAGTGAAAAGTGAGTGTGGCAGAAAATTTAGCATATAAATTGATACAATCATGAACTGTTAATAATAATAAGTCTGGCTGATTTACGAAATTGGCAAATGAGTCTGGTAATATCTTCAAAATCGAAAAAATATAATATTTTTGCTTTTATTTTCCCGGGTTTGAAAATTTGTCATGTGATAGATTAGATTATCTAAACAAATTTCGTATATTATCTGATCGTCAATTTGGTTTCAGGGAGGGTCGATCAACTGAGGATGCCATTTATAAACTAACATCAACAATTTATAACTCTTTGGATAAAAAAGTACCCATTTTATGTATATTTCTAGATCTCTCCAAAGCCTTCGACACTGTGTGTCATGTAAAATTATTAGAAAAATTGCAAAAGTATGGAGTTAGGGGTAAATCATATAACATTTTTGAAAGTTATTTATCAAATAGGCAGCAGCTTGTTCAAATTGGAGATACTAGAAGTGATTCACAAACAGTAACTGTTGGAGTTCCTCAGGGAACCGTGTTAGGCCCGATCCTTTTTTCTGTATACATAAATAGCCTTCTCAATTTGGAATCACTTGGCCAAATTTTTAGCTTCGCGGATGATACGGCTGTCATATACACTTCGTCTTCTTGGGATAACCTAAAACAAAAAGTTGAAAGTGACTTTCCAAGAATAGCAAATTGGCTTCAATATAATAAACTTAGAATAAACTATACAAAAACAAACTACTTACCGTTTAGCTCCTATACTAGTGGTCTTCCTTCCATGGGATCTTTAAAAGTAGGCCTAGGTATAGAAATCCCTGAATCCTCTTCAGTAAAATATCTTGGAATTCTTATAGATAGGCATATGAGGTGGGATTTACATACCAAGCAACTTATTAAAAAAATAAGAGGATTATTGCCCAAATTCAGGTATTTAAAAGATTTTTTAAATGTTCATGCTCTAAAAACAATGTATTTCTCTTTGGTACAGTCGTTATTAGTCTATGGTATTATAGGTTGGGGAGGAATACACGATAACTTTCTGAATGATGTTCATGTGGTGCAAAAATGGATTTTGCGTATTATCTATAACAAAGATATTCAATATTCTAGTAACTCCTTGTACAAGGAATTAAAAGTTTTTGATTTAAGACAATTATATATTTTTTAAATTCTTCAATTTATAAAAACAAAAAAAATTGTTTTGACATCACATGAACATCAGTATAATACACGACGAGTAGAATCTGTTTATTTTCCTCGTAGTGAAAAATCTATAGGACAACGTACATGCAATTATCTTGCACCAAAAATGTATATTTTAGTCCCAGAAGAGATACGAAATATACCGTCTTATAATGTATTCAAAAAACATCTAAGAAACTGGATTCTTCAAGAAGACCGAGAAGAATTTACTAATGTTATAAATAATTACCTATCGTAAACTATTATATTCATTATCCATACTTTTAATAACTGCACTGATTTTCCGATTAATTCCTTTAATTTCCTAAAATGTAATTTACTCACCCAATAATAGGACTTGTTCTTCTGATTACGACCTATTTCTCGATTATGTCCTCTATCTCGATTATGTCCTCTATCTCGATTATATCCTCTATCTCGATTACGACCTTTCTCTTGAGTGTAACTAATTCCCGATTTTGACCCTTTTCCAAGTATTACATTATATAAATAATTTAATTTAATTTTTAACATTTTGTCTAAGATACAAAGAAACTGATCCATTGGGCTTATTCATTATTTATTAGGTCATATTATTATAGAATTAATTTTTGATTAAATTTTTTAGTAATACCTACCACGTACAAGCTGTCCATAACAGCTTCTGTGTAGTTCATGTTTATTTTGCTTATCTTTAAATGACATTTTTTATACATTGTATTTGTTTTATGTGAATAAACAACATTATTATTATTATTATTATTATATTATAATTTTACAGCTATATTTTATAGCAGATAAAATACCGTTATTTTCAAACGCTTCCATGAAAAATTTCCGGAAATGTTTCTTTTGAAAATTTTTTTGACAATTGAGAAGCTCTTTTATGCATATGTTTTATATGTTGTTATGTTGCTATGGCCAGCTTTGAAAATTTGATTTTAGTCGTTTTAATGTATGTCTGTCAAGTTTTGAAATTTGAATATTTTGGTGTAAAATGTTCTTACCCAATACCTACCACTGGTGCCTAAATTCTTATCAGTAAATATTTGCTCACTCACGCATATTAGGATAAATTTCAAAATTTCAAAACTGGCCGAACTGCAGCCAACTACGAAACTACTTTCGAAAGTTTTCGTATCACACTTGGTTGTGACCGACACAATGGCGACTGTGCCGGGTGCCATTCCTACACAGTGCACGTACTTCTCTGCTTTTTGTTTCAAGTGAACAGTCTTCAGTGCTCCTGGCCTAATTTATTCGTATCAAAGGAGCATTTTTTTAGGTGAAACGTGGAAAAAATATTATTTCTAGCCTACAACGTTAGACTGTTTACTTATGAATATTAATTTAATTATAAGTAACAAACATATTTAATTATCTGAATTTGTTTTTTTTTTTAATAAAAATTACATTATATATAATTCCCTTCATAATACTATTTTTTATTACAAAAAATCTAGAGACAGATGCAGAAATGATTGCTACTTTTTTTTTAGTTTCAAAAGTAATAAAAAAAAACAATGTCAATAAATTTATTAATGGCTTCTTTTGATCACATAAATAGGTAATAAGTAAATGTAGCTAAACTTTATAATACGAGTTAATTAGTCTTAAACAAAGATATTGCAAATTTCAATAAGAGATTGCTTTAAAAGAAAGTTCTTATTTCTGTTTCGGTTTCGATCGAAACTAAGAAAGGAGCCGAAATTGGGTTTCGGTTTCGGTTATAAAACCGTATTTCGGTCGGACCTGACAAGCCAGGTAGTTAAACGAGGAGAGGAATAGTAATCGAACGTGCAGAATTTAGCGCGCCTGACGATCATTAGACAAGTCTGGCAAGGCTTTCGGGGTATTCCACATTAGCCAAATTGTATTTTAAGCTATTATCATAATATACATTTTTCTAGTACTGAGGACACTTGTAACAGAGATCCTTACTGGGCATTGCCAACTAAAAGGACACCTTAGTAAACTGATAGTAGTAGAAAATAGTGAGTGAAGATTCTGTGAGGAGAAGGACGAAACCTTCATTTACATTCTAACTGAATGTGTAGCACTCCAGAATCCAAGAGCACTATACCTAGGAGCATATCAAATAGAAACTTGAAGCCACTCCAAATCCCACACTTCCTTGAGAAGATATAATTGAAAGGGTCGTTATAAGCATTGATACATTTCCTTGCTGCATTAGCGACAGAAGGGGACACAATAGATATTTTAGGTCGCAGTGTATTAACACCCCATTCCCAACATAACATAACATAGCGAGAAAACTGCAAAATAATGAAATCCACAAATCCCAGTTCATATTTTGGACATCCAACTACTATTATTTTTAAAATTTTAAATTCTGACAAACTGTCAGTATATTTTTTAGTCATTAAGATTACATATAAGTTAAAATTAGTTATTTTTGTTTAGAATCAATAAAAAATAACATTTTAATTTTATTTGGGCCACATTTAAAAAAGTAAATTTTAATCAAATTGTATGAAACTAATTTAATTACGAGTATTAAAATTAAAAACCTAAAAGTGACGGTGGAGCTGAGGACAGAGCATTTGCCTTCCACGCGAATAGCCTGGGTTCGAATCTGGACTATAGGGGATACTTTTTTTTTATGTTTTTTATTTTATAAATTAATAAAATTTATAAATTATTTTAGAATGGCTTATTTTGTCTAAACCTAAAATAATTTT